CTGGCAGAGCAGTGCGAGGGGGACGTGGACTCGCTCTGCAAGGGCGTGGATGAGGGCAAGGAGGCCCACTCCCTCGTGCTGCAGTGCCTGGTGGAACACCAGGAGAACCTCTCTGGAAAATGCCTCACTGAAACGGCGTATGCCGTGCGAATGGCCCTCTGGATGTATCATAAGGATGCTGATCTGGTCAAGCCGTGCAATCCTGTGGTGGAAACCCTTTGCGGGAATCGGACGGGGGTGGTTGCGGGGGAGGGAGCGGGGAAGGCGGCGGCGGCGGCGGCGGTGGGGGTGGTGGGGCAGTGTTTGTTGGAGCAGCCGAGGGAGAAGCTGGGGGAGGAGTGTGGGCGGCTGGTGGGGCTGATTGGGCAGCCGGGCGGGCATGTGGGCGGGGTGATTGACACGAGTCAGCTGGAAGAGACTCTCGCGCGACTGGCACAGGTACAGGTGGGTGCAGAGCGGTGAGGGGGGGTGGGGGAGGGGGGGGCGAGGTTAGGGGAGGAGTGTGGGCAGTTGGTGGGGCTGATTGGGCAGCCGGGCGGGCATGTGGGCAGGGTGATTGACACGAGCCAGTTGGAAGAGACTCTCGTGCGACTGGCTTAGGTACAGGTGGGTGCAGAGCGGTGGGGAGGGAGGCGGAGAGGCGGAGGTAGGTACAGATGAGTGCCAAGCTGAAGGAGGGAGGGATGTTCAAATCAAAATGGGGGAAGAGTACCTTTGTTTTTCATTTCCCTTTACATATAAACTATAGCATTCAGCAGAACGCATGTCGTGTATTGATATGCATTTTCACTTTACCACATATTTACTCCCCCACTTTCCCCCCCACTCCCCTCCATCCGCCCTGCCCCAGGGGAGGCAGAGAGAACGCTATAAGGTTCAACAGAACGGTTGTGTGGAGAATTATGGCAATTTTCTCTAAACCCTCCTCCCCCCCCCCCCCCCTCACATTCCCCCCTCCTGCCATCCCCACAGCTAAAGCATGAGGAAGGGGCAGAGACAGAGAGCGAGGGAGGAGGGAAGCTGGTGCTGACAGGCGCTACAGCCTTTGCGGCGGTTACCGCACTCACTGCGGTGCTGCTGGGTGCTGCCTATCTGGTGTATCGCAAGTGCTTCGACCCCACCAGGAACTACACTCTCATGGTCAAGGCTGGAGATGTTTGAAACGGTGATGCTTATAAGGAGGGCGTACTCTTTTGGAGAGGTGACAGTTAGATTGAATCACACTTAGGAATGCGCAAGCTGGGTTGGATTGACTGCTGCCAAAGTGTAGCAATTAGAGTGATGGCGGCACAAACGCCGTGGAGAGTGATTCAAGTGGATAGATGATGCAGAAGCGTTCGTACTGCCTCTTGCAAATGCATGTGAAATACGGTAGCATGAGCAGCCTTCTCACGTGATTCCTCTGTTGTAACATCCTGTAGATTCTTTAACCCGTTTGACCTGGATGTTGTGTAGAAATGATATACCGGTACTGGTAGCAATACACTACTTTAGCAGCTTGTGTTCAGGCTTGCACTGCTGTGTGTCACAGCACTGTGCGTGCACCTGCAGAGTGGCACACACTGCTCAAATACTTGTGGTTTAGGTGAAAACGGCAAGGTTTCTTCTGAAAGTGAGAACGTCTCAGGAAGTTGAAAGAAAGAGAAGGGGAATGTAATTGAAAAGAGGCAAGCTAGTTGTGTTCAGGCTGCTGTGTGTCACAGCTCTCTGTGTGTGGGCCTCCAGATTGGCACACATTGCTATGTGGGCCTGCAGATTGGCACACATTGCTGTGTGTGGGGTGGGGCTACTGTATAACAGACATAAGGTTCCCTTCAGGACTGTAGAGTGCATGGAGTTGATTTTTTTGGCGCCTAAAAAATAACCCTAATGCAGAGTAGCGCACAAGCCTGTATGAGGGTCTGCTGTATCACACGCATCAACTTCCATTCTGCTCTGTAGAGAGCTTTGCCCCCATTCCGGGCCATCTCCCCCCCTCCCTTTTTCTCCGGCCAAGGAAAGTCAAGGCTCAGAAATGGCTCCTTCAAACAGGGAAGTCACATCAGAGAGAACGACGTAGCGGAATCAAACCAGGGGGGTCAAACAAAAGAAAGTACTTCAGGGACTCTTGAGTCTGACTCATTATCCACCTGCTTTCCCACCCACCCCCTCAGTCAACCAGAATCAAAGCCACAACTTCAATACACTAGCACTTCAGACCAGGAGAGACAAAGTGACTATTGAGTCGACTCAAAAGTCACCTCAGTCAGCCAGAATCAAAACCACAACTTCGATACACTAGCTCTTTAGACCAGGGAAGTCAAACCAAGGGAAATGAATCGGGAAACAAAGCAGGGGGGGTAAGCAGGGGAATCAAGCACTAGAAAGACCACGCAGGTATCCCTTTCAAGAATGTGAAATGCGATGGGATGGCCATGAGGATCAAATGCGTTGGCCTGGAATGAGACGGGCATCTGAAGGGATGGGTGGGATGGCCTCTGGTCGGTGCTGTTCCGAGCAGGAGGAACTGAAGGGGAAAGCTTGCTCCCTCATAGACGTCAGCCACACAAGCGTTGCGCACTCACAAGTGTTGCTCACTAGAATGCGTTGGCCAGGAATGAGATGGGCATCTGAAGGGATGGGTGGGGTGGCCTCTGGTCGGTGCTGTTCCGAGCAGGAGGAACGGGAGGGGGAAGTTCGCTCACTCATAGACGCCAGTCTCACAAGCGTTGCTCACTCACAAGCGTCGCTCACTCACAAGCGTCGCTCACTCACAAGCGTCGCTCACTCACAAGCGTCGCTCACTCACAAGCGTCGCTCACTCACAAGCGTCGCTCACTCACAAACGTCGCTCACTAATATGTGCAGGTCACTCCTCGGGGTGACACGCGGAGCACCCTACATGCCTCAGATTACAGTCATGCCGAGTAGAGCAAGTGGCTCTGGCAACATGGGAGTCACTTTTGAGAGTTTTCTGGAGTGCGTCAGATTACAGTCATGCCGTGTAGAGCTGGTACTTCTAACTGCCGGTTGATCGTCGTCACGTTTTGTAAGGCGATGGCCATTTCGCGAGGCTTTTGAGGCGCATCAGATGGCTATTCTACAAAATACGAGAAGAGCTGGTACTTCTAACAGCCCGTTCAGTGTGACCACGTTTTGGAAGGCGATGGCCATTTCGCGAGGCCTTTCGAGGCTTTTCAAAAGTGAGAATTCTCGGCTAGTATACAGTCATGCCGAGTAGAGCGGGTACTTCTAACAACCGGTTGATTGTGACCACCTTTTGTAAGGCGATGACCATTTCATAAGTCGTCTCAAAATCGAAAGCGGTGGAACGACCAGAATCGCATGGTTTGACATTTGCTCGATAGGTACGTGGCTGCGCCTGCTGGAAAGGTTGACCACAATCCGTCGCAAATTTCGAGCATAATCGGTTCTTAGTCGTCGGATACGGATACTCTAGGTGCATAATCGTCCCTTATAAGGGTCTCGCTTTAATCTCCTGCGCGGGCTACCGCCATCAGTGTCACCCTTCACTGCTAGGAGCTGTTGGCTAAGAAACGAGAGACGCGCACTGCAAATGCTCGGTGCAGGAGGGAGGAACTCGGAACTTGAGTTGAACTCGGTCAAAGGAGGATGGAAGGAGGGGTCGCTTGTGTGGCACGCTAAAAGCACAACCGAGCAGATGCTCGTCAAAATAAATGCTTCCAAATCTGCCACGTTGGCAGGAAGCCAGTTTTTATCCCACGACGCGAACATTTACGGAAGCCGAGGCTGAAATAAACTTTGCAAACTGCATTTAGTAGTTATCTTTACGCTTGGGGCAATGACGCAGTTAATGAGGTTTATCCGAGACGCGTCAATTGCTGGTTGAAAACTATTTCCAAACCCCCTCAGCGGCCCGGGAGGGCCACTGAGAATTTCTGGAAAGGCTGATTTGCTCGGCCTACAAAAACAAATCGGAAATGGGATTTAGTAAACGCGATGGTCATTTGGCTAGGCGCATCAACATCGGAAGTGGTCGAATGACCAGTATCGCATGATTTGACATTCCCTCGATAGATACGCGGTTGTACTCCTGGAAAGGCTTGACCACAATCTGTCGTTAATTCTCGTGCATAATCGGTTCTTAGTCGTCGGATGCCAATACTTAGGTGCATAATCGTCGCTTAGTAGGGTGTCGCTTTAATCTCCAGCGAGATCTATCGGCATCAGTGTCCCCCTACACCACTAGGAGTTATGATTGGAACAAGTTGTTGAACTATGAACTGGTTCTGTCGAAGGCGGGTGGAAGTAGGGATCGCTTGGGTCCAAAGCAAACGCTTGTCAGAATACACGCTTCAGAGTTTGCCACGTAAGCAGCATGCGACGCCTCTGTCCCACAAAGCGAACATTGACGGAAGCCAAGCCTGAAATAAACTGTGCAAACAACACGATATTATTATCTTTGCGCTTGGGGCAATGACGCAGTTAATGAGGTTTATCCGAGACGCGTCAATTGCTGGTTGAAAACTATTTCCAAACCCCCTCAGCGGCCCGGGAGGGCCACTGAGAATTTCTGGAAAGGCTGATTCGCTCGGCCTACAAAAACAAATCGAGAATGGGATGTAGACAAGTGAAATATAACCCCAATAGGTGGAAAATGTGTCAATTGGGGGAGGATCATTGTATGGAGAGCATGATCTCGTAAAATCCCAGGCACGTGATTTGTCTTCAACAAATTAAGGGATATTACCAACGATGCCCCCCTTGTTTTTGTCCCAGAAACAATATTTAGCTATACAGAATTCCACTCCATAACCATCTATAGCACCCGGTAGAGAAGACTTCTAGTTTGTTTCACACACAAGTCCTAGCCTAGTGATCCTCGTCCCAATGTGCTGCTCTCAAGAATATCATCAGCTGCACCACCACCATCATCTCCTGTCAATCCCACACCTTCCACCAACTCGTACCCAGACGAAAGACTTCTGCTCGACGGTGAAAACATCCCCTTGAGCGGCGAACACCCCCTAGATCCGAACCTAGGCGGGGAGGGATGGCAGGAGCCAGGCCTTGGGGTCGGGGAAGCATGTCGTGAGGTTGGGCGAGAGGAGGGTCGGGAACAGGGTTGGCAGGAGGTTCGGGAAGAGGGTCGGGGCGAGGTCTGGGAGGAGTGAATGGTTCCCTGTGATGGTAGAAGGATGCTGTCTGGAATGGCAGCAGCTGTGCTTGCTGCTGCTGCCAGTGCTGCTGAAGCTGGTGCTATGGCTGGTAATGGTAATGGTAATGATGGTGATGGTGATGGTGATGCGGCTGCTGCAGCTGCTACTGTTGCTGCTATTTTTTCTCTTGCTGCTGCTGCTGCTGCTGCTGCTGTTGCTCCCGCTGCTGCTGGTGCTGTTGCAGCCCCTGCTGCCTCCGTCATTGCGGGAGCAGCAGTTGCGGCAGCAGAACTTTCTAGACCAATGGGGTGAGTGGTGGGTGGTGCAGAAGCAGCAGCAGGGTCAGAGGAGGGTGGGGGAGAGGATGGCAGAGCAGGAGCGTGCGAGGCAGTAACTGGTACCACAGCTTGTATCGCGTCGTACCCTCCTACTGGTCCTATAGCTTGTATCGCCTCGTACCCTCCTACTGGCCCCACAGCTTGTATCGCCTCATACCCTCCTACTGGTCCCACAGCTTGTATCGCCTCGTACCCTCCTACTGGCCCCACAGCTTGTATCGCCTCATACCCTCCTACTGGTCCCACAGCTTGTATCGCCTCGTACCCTCCTACTGGCCCCACAGCTTGTATCGCCTCATACCCTCCTACTGGTCCCACAGCTTGTATCGCCTCGTACCCTCCTACTGGCCCTACAGCTTGTATCGCCTCATACCCTCCTACTGGTCCCACAGCTTGTATTGACTCGGCTGATGTAGCGCCAACAGGCACATCCGGAGAGGAAGAAGACTCATCCTCCTTCTTACTCTTATCAGTCCCATCGCTCACACCACCCTCCCAACCCCGACCACCTCCCCCATCCTCCCCACTTTTTCCACCCTCCCCACCCTCCTCCCCCTCCCCATGCAACGCGTACTGTGACAGCAGGGCGGCATATGCTGCTTCAAACGCGGATGAGGAGCTGCCCATGTCGTCCCTTCCTATCGCATCACTGCGGATAGGCTCACTGCTAGCCATCCATCCACTCGCAGCAGAACCACCAGCAGCACTATCAGCAGCAGTAGCAACAGCAGCACCAGCAGCAGCACCAGCAGCAGCAGCAGTGGTGCTGGCAGTGGTACCAATCGTGTCTGAGATGGTAACCGGTGTAACAGTGGCAGAGGCAGCGGCAGCGCCTGTGGCAGATGAAGCGGAGTGTGAGGAGGAGCCCCCAGGGGGTTTGACTGGTCGGGGCGCCTCAGCTTGAAAGTCGATTTGGGAAGGCGGGACCGGGCTGCAGAGAATTTCCCGGAAGTTGCGCGGAATGCCGAGGTCGTAAGGGTTGTTCTTTCGCTTGTAGCGCATCCGGAAATTCTCATACGTGGTCTGGTGGAAGGGAGGAGGGTGGGGGGAGGGGGTGGAGGAAGGGACGGTGGGTGGGTGGTGATATAAGATATCCTTCATAACTCTTTCGATTGTAGCGCATCCGGAAATTCTCATATGTGGTCTGGCGAGAGGGGTGGTTGGCAGGAAGGGGTGATGCGAGGGAGCGGTTGGCGAGCTATTCAAAGTCTCAAAAGTCTATCTCTTGTAGCGCATTAAAAAATCCCCATCTGTAGTCTGACGGGAAGGGATGGAGGGAAAGGGAGAGGGGGGGGGGGGGGGGAGGGGGGTGAGGATAGGGTGGAAGGAGAACCCTCTGAGAATCACACCACCACAGAGGAGTAAGCAAAAAAAAAAAAAAAAAAAAAAAAAAAAAACACGAGTATGCCATGAGAAAACAGCACCACCACTGGTGCCTTTGCAGCTAAGTCACTCAATGCATACTTGATTTGTAGCCATGAGGAATGTGTGGAACGCTGTGAGTCCCCCAACGAGCCACACCACTATGAAGGTGTACGCCATGAGAATCACCGCCACTGGCGCCTTCCCCATCCCATGCAGCAATCCCCACCTGATTGACTCTGAAACGTCTCAAAGCGCAAATCTCACCTGATTTGTGGCCGTAAGAAAGGTGTGAAAGACCGTAAGCCCTCCCACGAACCACACCACTATAGTGGTATACGCCATGAGAATCACCGCCACTGGCGCCTTTCCCCATGCAGTCCGCTGCCCACCAGACAGGTGGTGCCATGGGACAATCGGGGACGCTGAGCATACCTGATTGGTGGCCATCAGGAACGTGTGAAAGGCCGTAAGTCCCCCCACGAACCACACCACTATGAAGGTGTACGCCATGAGAATCACCGCCACCGGCGCCCCAACCCAAGACTCTCAAGCCTTACCTGATTGGTGGCCATCAGGAACGTGTGGAAAGCAGTGAGTCCCCCCACGAACGAACCACACCACTATGAAGGTGTACGCCATCAGAATCACCGCCACCGGCGCCTTCCCTTACCCATGGAGCATCCCCTGCCTGATTGATTCTGAGATGTCTCAACACACAATGCTCACCTGGTTGGTGGCTGAGAGAAAGGTGTGGAAGGCCGTAAGCCCCCCCACGAACCACACCACTATGAAGGTATACGCCATGAGAATCACCGCCACTGGCGCCTGCCCCATGGCCTCCCACAGCGTTCTGGGCTGCCCTCCGGGCTCGTAGGTGTTATTCACGAGTAGGGCGAGGAGGAGCGCGCTGATGGCGAATACGAAGAGGCAGAGAAGTGTTGTGGTGGCGGTGAACATGTAAAAGAACCGGTAGTTGCGCTGACAGGGAAGAGGGTGGTGGGGTAAGAGCGGGGAGGGAGCAGGGAAAGAGGAGAGAGGGAGGGGGAGAATGGGGGAGTGTGGGAAGAGAAGAGTGCCTTTCCGATGGCCTCCCACAGCGTTCTGGGCTGCCCTCCCGGCTCATAGGAGTTGTTCACGAGTAGGGCGAGGAGGAGCGCGCTGATGGCGAACACGAAGAGGCAGAGAAGGGTTGTGGTGGTGGTGAACATGTAAAAGAACCGGTAGTTGCGCTGGCGGGAGGGGGAGGGGAGGGGAGTGGGAGGAAGAGGGACCGGAGGAGGCGGGCGGGAGGCGGGAGGGGAGAAAGGAGGAATAAGGGGAAACGACCAGTGATGGGGAAGAGAGTGCATTCCCCATGGCCTCCCACAGCGTTCTGGGCTGCCCTCCCGGCTCATAGGAGTTGTTCACGAGTAGGGCGAGGAGGAGCGCGCTGATGGCGAAGACGAAGAGGCAGAGGAGGGTTGTGGTGGCGGTGAACATGTAAAAGAACCAGTAGTTGCGCTGGCGGGGGGTGAAGGAACGGGATGGGGAGGGATGGGGGGCAGGAAGAACAAGAGGCAGAGAAGGGTTGTGGTGGCGGTGAACATGTAAAAGAACAGGTAGTTGCACTGGCGGGAGGGGGAGGGGAGGGGAGTGGGAGGAAGAGGGACCGGAGGAGGCGGGCGGGAGGCGGGAGGGGAGAAAGGAGGAATAAGGGGAAACGACCAGTGATGGGGAAGAGAGTGCATTCCCCATGGCCTCCCACAGCGTTCTGGGCTGCCCTCCCGGCTCATAGGAGTTGTTCACGAGTAGGGCGAGGAGGAGCGCGCTGATGGCGAAGACGAAGAGGCAGAGGAGGGTTGTGGTGGCGGTGAACATGTAAAAGAACCGGTAGTTGCGCTGGCGGGGGGTGAAGGAACGGGATGGGGAGGGATGGGGGGCAGGAAGAACAAGAGGCAGAGAAGGGTTGTGGTGGCGGTGAACATGTAAAAGAACCGGTAGTTGCGCTGGCGGGGGGTGAAGGAACGGGATGGGGAGGGATGGGGGGCAGGAAGAACAAGAGGCAGAGAAGGGTTGTGGTGGCGGTGAACATGTAAAAGAACCGGTAGTTGCGCTGGCGGGGGGTGAAGGAACGGGATGGGGAGGGATGGGGGGCAGGAAGAACAAGAGGCAGAGAAGGGTTGTGGTGGCGGTGAACATGTAAAAGAACCGGTAGTTGCGCTGGCGGGGGGTGAAGGAACGGGATGGGGAGGGATGGGGGGCAGGAAGAACAAGAGGCAGAGAAGGGTTGTGGTGGCGGTGAACATGTAAAAGAACCGGTAGTTGCGCTGGCGGGGGGTGAAGGAACGGGATGGGGAGGGATGGGGGGCAGGAAGAACAAGAGGCAGAGAAGGGTTGTGGTGGCGGTGAACATGTAAAAGAACCGGTAGTTGCGCTGGTGGGGGGTGAAGGAACGGGATGGGGAGGGATGGGGGGCAGGAAGAACAAGAGGCAGAGAAGGGTTGTGGTGGCGGTGAACATGTAAAAGAACCGGTAGTTGCGCTGGCGGGAGGGGGAGGGGAGAGGGGAAACGGGAAAGAACGGAGGCGGGGAACGGGAAAATTAAGGGAAAACGACCAGTGCCAATGCACGGCCCCTCTCTCCGCCCCTCATCTTGCAATGCACACCCCCTCTCTCCGCCCCTCACCTTGCAATGCACGGCCCCACCCAAGGACAATGGTGGTCGAATCGCTCCGCACAGTTGCTGTGAAGCCCTTTTGAGTGCCTCAACAATCGTCTCTCCCTCTTCTATCTTGCATATGCACTGCCCCTGTCCTCACCTTGCCAATGCACTGCCCCATCCACGGGCAGTGGTGGTCAAATCGTTCCACACATTTGTTGCTGTGAAGCCCTTTTGAGTGCCTCAACAATCGTCTCTCCCTCTCCTATCACGCCTATGTTGATGGTACTTTTGAGAATTCTCAACTCAAAAGCTCCACACAGTTGCTGTTGACAAGCCCTTTTGAGTGCCTCAACAATCGTCTCTCCCTCTCCTATCACGCCTATGTTGATGGTACTTTTGAGAATTCTCAACTCAAAAGCTCCACACATTTGCTGTTGACAAGCCTTGCAGAGAGCCTCAAAAATCGTCTCTCCCTCTCCTATCATGCCTATGCAATCTTTCTCTCACACTCACCTTGCCTATGCATTGCCCCACCCACGGGCAGCGGTGATCAAACCGCTCCACACAGTTGCTGTTGTCAAGCCTTGCAGAGCGCCCATCAGTCATCTCAGCACCTTGCCTGTAAACCGTTCCACTCTTTGACTCACCTTGCCTATGCACTGCCCCACCCACGGGCAGGCAGTGATGATCAAACCGTTCCACACAGTTGTTGTTGTCAAGCCCTTTTGAGGGCCTCAGAAATTATCTCAGCACATTCCCTGGGCACTGCCTGTCCCTCTTGGCCTTACCTTGCCTATGCATTGCCCCACCCACGGGCAGTGGTGGTCAAACCGCTCCACACAGTTGTTGCTGTGAAGCCCTTTTGAGTGCCCCAACAATCGCCGATCCCACTCCTATCTTGCATATGCACTGCCCCTGTCCTCACCTTGCCTATGCATTGCCCCACCCACGGGCAGTGGTGATCAAACCGTTCCACACAGTTGTTGCATACGCTGCAGTGGGAGCAGCGGGGGGGTCTGCAGGGGCAGGAGGGGGATAACAGGAAAGGGGATAAGAGAGCACGGGCGCAAGCACATATTGGGGACTGCAGTGCAGGCCTCTAACCCCCACCCCACCCACGGGCAGTGGTGGTCGAATTGTTCTACACAGTTATTGCACACACTGCAGTGGGAGCAGCGGGGGGGTTCTGAGACATGGGGGGACGCGGGGAGGGAGCGGGGAGGGGGAGGAGGGGGAGAAGCAGACTGGAGCTTATGACTTTAGAACCTTTCCACACAGTTGTTGCATACGCTGCAGTGCGAGCAGCGGGGGGGTCTGCAGGGGCAGGAGGGGGATAACAGGAAAGGGGATAAGAGGGCACGGGCGCAAGCACATATTGGGGACTGCAGTGGTGGGCCTCTAACCCCACCCCACCCACGGGCAGTGGTGGTCGAATCGTTCCACACAGTTGTTGCATACGCTGCAGTGCGAGCAGCGGGGGGGTCTGAGACATGGGGGGACGCGGGGAGGGAGTGGGGAGGGGGAGGAGGGGGGAGAAGCAGACTGGAGCTTATGACTTTAGAACCGTTTCACACAGTTGTTGCATACGCCGCAGTGCGAGCAGCGGGGGGGTCTGAGACATGGCGGGACGCATGGGGGGGAGCAGAGCGGGGAGAGAGTGAACGGACGGAAGCCTATCACTTTGTAAAACGTCTTTACACTCTTCTGGAAACCCTACCAGCAAACCCACTTCCACACCTTTCCACACCAACACACACCTATCACCCCACCCACCTATACAGCAGGCACGTGTCGCAGTATTTAACTTTCACTCGGAACCCGTTAATCTCCAAATCTTTAGTTCTGGGCAGGCTGAATCGCCCCCCCGTGGCAAGCCCCCCTCCAGGCAAGCGCATGGCTTCTAGCATGTCCGGATCAGGGTCTGGCGGAACGAGGCTGACCCTGTCTGTCCCCCCACCCCCACAGCACAAACGCGCCCCCCCCCCTCCCCCTCCCCCCCCCCCCCCGCCCCACCCACCTGTACAACAGGCACGTGTCGCAGTATTTAACTTTCACTCGGAACCCGTTAATCTCCACGTCTTTAGTTCTGGGCAGGCTGAACCGCCCCCCCATGGAAAGCCCCCCCCCCCTCCAGGCGCATGGCTTCCAGCATGTCCGGATCAGGGTCTGGCGGGACGAGGCTGTCACTGTCTGTCTGTCCCCCCAACCCCACCCCCACCCCCACAGCACACACACGCCCCCCCCCGCGCACCTGTACAGCAGGCACGTGTCGCAGTATTTAACCTTCACTCGGAAGCCATTAATCTCCACGTCTTTAGTTCTGGGAAGGCTGAACCGCCCCCCCATGGCAAGCCCCGCCCCCTCCAGGCGCATGGCTTCTAGCATGTCCGGATCCGGGTCTGGGGGGACGAGGTTGCGAGGCACGATACCCGGGTCTCTGCACGCTGTGAAGACGAGAATGAAGAGGTTCTGTATGGTGTGGGCAGACGGGGGAAGGGACGGGGTGCAGAGGGGTGCAGGGGGGTGCAGAGGAAGATTGAACCTGGGAAGGCTGCACTGCACTTGCTTGCTCCCCTTCCCCCCCCTCGCCCCCCCGCCCCCTCCAGGCGCATGGCTTCTAGCAAGTCCGGATCCGGGTCAGGGGGGACGAGGTTGCGAGGGACGATGCCTGGATCTCTACATGCCGTGAACACCAGAATGAACAGGTTCTGGAGAGGATGGGGGGGGATGGGGGAACGGGGGGTGGAAGGAAGGGAGGGGTGCAGAGGTGCGCATGTCTGGATCAGGGGTCGGGCGGGACGAGGTTGCGAGGCACGATGCCCGGGTCTCTGCACGCTGTTAACACTAGGATGAACAGGTTCTGGCATGGGAGGGGGGAGGGAAAGAATGGGGCGCAGAGGGGCACAGAGGGGTGCAAAGGAAACTTGAATCTGGAAAGGCTGCACCTGTCTGCTCTGCTCCCTCCCCCCTCCAGGCGCATGGCTTCTAGCATGTCCGGATCAGGGTCTGGGGGGACGAGGTTGCGAGGGACGATACCCGGGTCTCTACATGCCGTGAACACCAGAATGAACAGGTTCTGGAGAGGATGGGGGGGGATGGGGGGACGGGGGGTGGAAGGAAGGGTGGGGTGCAGATGTGTGCATATCCGGATCAGGGTCTGGGGGGACGAGGTTGCGAGGGACAATGCCCGGGTCTCTGCACGCTGTGAAGACCAGGATAAAGAGGTTCTGGAGGGAGGGTGAGGAGAGGAAAGGCAGGGAGGAAGTGGACGGAGGGTCAGGTGGGACGAGGTTGCGAGGCACGATGTCCGGGTCCCTGCATGCTGTGAACACCAGGATGAACAGGTTCTGAAAGGGGGTTGGAGAAAGGGGGAAGGACGGGGTGCAGAGGGGTGCAGAGGGGTGCATGTCCGGATCGGGGTGAGGCGGATTGAGGTTGCGAGGGACGATGCCCGGGTCCCAGGTTCTGTATGGTGTGGGGGGGGGGGCAAGGTTGCAGAGGGGTGCAGAGGGGTGCAGAGGGGTGCAGAGGGATGCAGAGGGATGCAGAGGAGGAGTGGACTTGGGCAGGCTGAACCATCCACGCCAACTAACCTCTCCACGCATCCCCCCTGCAGCTCCACCCACTCATATGGCTCCCCATGCGACTCCCTCACCCATGCGACTCCCTTACACGACTCCCCCATGAAACTCAACCCACCCATGCGACTCCCCCATGCGACCCACCCACCCATGCGACTCCCCCATGCGACCCACCCACCCATGCGACTCCCCCATGCGACCCACCCACCCATGCGACTCCCCCATGCGACCCACCCACCCATGCGACTCCCCCATGCGACTCACCCACCCATGCGACTCCCCCACGCGACCCACCCACCCATGCGACTCCCTCCCCATGCGACTCAATCCACCCACCCACCCATCCCCCCACGCACCCATGCTAAGTAGCAAATCGCGACGGGAAGCACGACGATGCCTCCGGGAATCTTCCCAGGAAGCTGCGCGGCCACGAAGACGCAGAAGAGTATCCCCGGTATAAGGATGAGCAGGAACGAGATCACCAGCGAACGGAAATCGGGACCGAATATGAACCAACCGTAGCACAGAAACACCTGGGGAAGGGGGGGGAAGGGGGGGGAAGTGGAGAAGAGGGAGGGGGGAAATGGGGGAGGATGGAGGGGAGTGGAGAAGAGGGAGGGGGGAGATGGGGGGGGAGGGAGAGAGCGGTTGGGGAAGGTGGGGGGAGGTGAAGTTGCGGAGGTGAAGCGGGGAGTTGGGCTTTTAAGGGAAGGCGGGAAGTTGACGATAGACGACGAGTGGAGAGACGTATTTTGAGGCGCCTCAAAATACACCTCACTGCTCGGTGAAGCGGGGAGTTGGGCTCTTGAGGGAAGGCGGGAAGTTGACGATAGACGACGAGTGGAAGAACGAGGAAGAAGGTGACTATTGAGGCGATTCAGCAACATCTTTATCGCGCTGAAATGCGATGGAATGCGACGGACTGCGATGCGACGAGAAAACACCGAGTGCGACAGAAAACACGAAGTGCGCGTTATAAGGATCCTCACTATCAGCATATAATGAAATGCAACTCACGTTATCGCCTTTCCAGGCCTGGTACACCTTCGCCATGCCTGTCCGTCAGATGTCTCTACTTTGTCTAGACCGTACGGCTACAGATTGACGACGAAACGTCGCGAGGATAGTTGACAACCCTTGGATCGACGCCATCCTCGCTTTAAATTACACGGACTTGTCGTCGGCTCATTGTCTATCCGTTCGAATAAATAAAAGTAAATCAATTGAACACCAGTACGAGTCTAAGTCACAAACGGATAACCGTTCGACAAATTACTGTGTCATACCAAGCGAACGACTTTCAGGCGACTCCTGCGGCAAAGCAGTCGAGCTCACAAACAACTAGCTGGATCACCTGGTATCACCAAGTGTTAGAGACCAAGCGTTAGGGACCAAGTGCTAGGGACCAAATGTTAGGACCACTACGTAGCGAAGGATCACAGTAGTAATAACCGTAGGAAAATTATGACTGAGCCAATCTCTGTGGACTGACCGTTAACTACTTCGGGGATGGTTCCTCAAGGTGACGTGGCACGTCTGTGGGGGTGCTGCACTGTGTGAGTGAACCTACACGTCGCCCGCCGTCAAGATTCACGAGAGTGGAAGTGATCATGCGGTCCGAATTCCGTCGCTAGTGTGGCTGGGGTTTTCGTGATGGACGGGTTACGGGGATTCGTGTAGGTGCGATGCACGAGCTGTTGTATACCCGTACCCGTCATTGCTGAACTCTTTAGAGAGTACTCGCCACTACATTGAAAAGTGTAGAACTCTGTATATAGCATATATACTCGTCGACCGACCTGTTACCGAGTTTTCTTTTGGCTAAGAGACATTATTAATAATGATAATATAATTATCATTAATAATAGCAATGAGAATACTAATAGTAATAGTAATAATTATAGTAATATCTCTTGGTATTATTTCCTCCATGTGTTTAGGTTCCCGTCTAGTTCACCCACCTCTATGAAAGGTCAGCACTAGAGTGTGCTGTTGAAGTCTTGACAGAAGGAACGGGGACAGGTTCCATTACTGTTGACCAGAGCTGTACACGTGACGTGACTAACTGTCGCACTCATGTTCAAGATGCCTCATAATTGCTGACGTGGGAATGTTGACGTGGTTTCGCTGTAGAAACAGCGCTTTTGCTTTTCTGTTGGGTGACCACTATGCTCAGAACAGCCCTAATCCCCCAAACTTCACACAGAGAAACGCTGCAGCGTGCTAGAAAGTCTGCAAGACACACTTCAGTGAGAAATTTCCAGCATTGGAAATCGAATGGTTTTACTATACAGAGCATTCCGATTATGGCTTGTTCTGTACATGGTGTAATCTTTGGATTATCTGGGTGTGCTGAGGGACAACCCTACATGATACGCCATCTCGTTCTCGACCCCCATAGTGAAGGACCCAATCAGATCAGGGCAGACGGCCCTGCCCGAACAGCCAAGAAGAGAGCATCACGAAAGGGCCGCATCATTGGCATGCAAAACATGCCTGTAACCCTGCAATACCACCCTAATCGTGGAGCCTTTCTTGGAATCAAGGTCTGGATGAAACAATATACGCGAACCCGATCTGAGCTGGTGCGGGTATTTCTTGCTCTAGAATCTCTAGAAAGGTTCCCCGTCTAAAATACGACCTTGGTTTTCGCAGTAAAAGCTTTTTGAAACAGAATTACTCTCTTGTCGCCAGACACTTTTCCCAACCAACTCATCGGCTCATCCCGTCCGTCTGTTGCTGCGCTAGCCTCTGCAAGCAACCCTCGAACCCAATGTCCCGTACGTCCCACACGATTCGACTCTCTCCGAGAAAGCTCGCTTCGAAGGACAGAGCAGGTGCAGAGCAGAGCAGACAAGAGTGCGGGGCATTGCAGTGCAGTGCGTTGAAAAGCGGTGCAGTACAATTCAGCACACCCAACAAGAAAAGCCACCACTAGAAGCACTCCACTCCACCACTGAATTAGCAGCTGTACCGACAGCCAATCTTGCGCGCAGGCAGCGAGCAAGCACACCAGTTCAGCCAATCAATCCTCCTTGACACTGTACAACCATACCCACACACCCAGCCCCCTTGTCAATCAGGGAGAGGAGACGAGCTAGGCAATTGTTCGTACTTGCCCCAACCCATCTGTTCCCCTCACCCCACTCCCCCTTTGTCCTCCTCAGCTTTAGGTTTTCTCACCCTTTCTTCCGTCATTTCCTACCATGCGGCTGCCCCCTCTCATTGGATAAACTCTCGACTGCCGCAGCGCGGCTTGCTATAAGCCCGCTGAAATGTCCTCTCTTGAGCACTCGGCGAGCCACAATGCGACATAATACTCGCGGCGACTCTTTCCACCGCAAAGCGAATGACTGTTTACAGCGGACTGTCGCCGCCTCGCCTTCCGTATCGCCAATCCCGTCTTCCACGTGACTAATAGCAAGCTCTCGCTCTGTAATCCATTCGCTATAAATAGCCCCTATTTCAACTAGAAGAATAAATCCAGGCTGAAACGCCGAAACGCCTCACACCCGTTTTTACATCCGTACCTGTTGTAACCCTCCTCGTTAGAGCGCATTGCGGTCATCATGGGCCAAGCGCTGTCCGCGCAGCCAATACACGAGGAGCCACAGCCGCAGCCGCAGCTTTGGCCTATCTGCCTCTCCCCCTCAGATCTTTTCTCCAACAACCCCCACCACTTCGGCCCCTACACGCCCGCCAATGGCGGCCTTATCCGCGCGCGCCAAATCATGGCGCAACTTCCGCCGGGAGACGCGCTCCCGGGGCTTCTTTCTATCTTCCTCGACCGCCTTTCCTCCCCGTCTCTCTCCCCGTCCTCGGAGTTTTCCGCCTATTCCCCCCGCTTGGCTCAGGCTTCCGCGCCTGTTTCATCCGCCTCCTCCTCTTCCTCCTCCGCGTCTTCCGCATCTTCCTCCTTCTTCGTCTCCTCCCCTTCCCCGCGCACGCGCGCGCTGCCCCCGCCGTACTTCCCCCTCGTGCAGCCGCAGCCGCTGACCCCGCGCTCGCGGTCGCTGCTGCTCCCCCTGGGCGGGGCGGATGACGTCATCCGCGCGGGGCTTCTGGACGTGCAGGCGCGCGCGGAAGCGGAGTATCAGCGCCTAGTGGAGCGGATAGAGGAGGCGGCGGATCTCGGCGCGGAACTCGGCGGGGGGGATGGCGCGGAGCTTGGCGAGAGAAGCGGGAGCGGAGGCGGAGGCGGAGGGGGAGCCCGCGGAGCCTATTGGGGCAGCGTGCGCAGTCCTGGCGGAGACGGGGTGTATGGCAGGGGGGAGTATGCTGGCGGCGCTTTTGGCAATGCCGCAACTGCGGATGGGCGCAATGCTACGAGGACGGAGAGCGGAGAGGCGGTGGAGAGCGGTGTTTATATAAACGTGGAGCGAATGGAAGAGGCTCTGCTGGTGGGAATGGCGTTTTGGATGGAGTTCTGGGAGCAGTGGGGGGAAGACCCGAGCGCATCGCTAGAAGCGCCCAGGGCGCGGCGGAGATCCCTGGAATCTCCGCGCACGATGCTCTGGCGCGGCGGAGAGGCTGTGCCAGGCAGGGGGAAATGGGGCGCGGGCGCGGGCGCGGGGGCAGGCGCTGCGCCAATGCCTGTGATGGCGCTGACTAGGTCCGCGCACGCGGAACGCGGTCCCCCCAAGGAGCGGAAGCAAGTGAGCATTGTATTGGCGGTAGGGGAGGGTGAAGGAGAATGCGGAGAGGGGAAAGAGAAGGAAGAGAGAAGAGGGCAGGGGAGGGGGAAAAAGGGAGAGAAGGAAAAAGAGGGGGGTCCTGGGGAGGTGGATGGGAGGATGGCTGAAAATGTGGAGGAGGGGGAAGGGAAGAGAAGGGAGGCTGAAGAGGAGAAGGCGGAGCAGGAGGGTGGGAGTGTTATTGTGGCAGACCACATTGTTGAAGCACCTGAAGCACCTGAGGCACCTGAAGCACCTGAAGCACCTGACACACCTGAAGCACCTGAAGCACCTGAGGCACCTGAAGCACCTGAGGCTTCTGATGGCGTGGATTCTTCAGGTGCGATGCCAGCAGCAGCAGAAGCTCCAGCGTCCCCATCCCTTCCTCCACCAGCCATCCCTGTGACAGCGGCAGTCCAACCTTCCCCAGTCCCCCCTTCCCCAGTCCCCCCTTCCCCAGTCCCCCCTTCCCCAGTCCCCCCTTCCCCAGTCCCCCCGTCCCCAGTCCCACCTTCCCCAGTTCCCTTCTCCTCAGCGCCTCCCCCGGCCGCTGCTGGGGGGTGGTTCAGGGCGAGTCTGAGGGAGAGGGAGTACGAGCAGTGGCAGGATCTATGTCGGGCGGCGGGGCGGGCGTGGGAGGAGAGAGAGGAGGCTGTTCAAGCCAGGGGGTTTCTCAGCCATAAACGACGAGCATTGGGTGTCTCTGCTGTTTCAGGTGTTTCTGTGGCTTCAGGTGTTTCTGCTGCTGTTTCTTCTGGTTCCGGAGGTGGTTCTTCTGCTACTACTCCTGCTGCTGTTGGTGGTGCTGCTGCTGCCAGTGGCGCTGCTGGTGGTGGTGGTGGCGCTGCTACTGCTGCTGCTGCTGGCACCACCAATGCCACCACGAGCGTTTCAGTTCAGCCGCAGCGCCGGTCGTCTCTGCCTTCTCGCAGCTTGAAAGAAGGCAGGAGAAGAAGCGGCAAGGAAGCTTCTTCTGCTGCGCAAGGAGGAGAGGGCGGTGCAGGGGAGGCCGCTGCTGCTGCTGCTGCTGCTGCTGCTGCTGCTGCTGCTGGTGGCAGCACGGGCAGGAACCGGAGTGCTGAGGCACCCAGCAGTGTGTCTTCAAGCTGGTTCCCTGTAGGCTTTGGTGCTGCTGACAGTTTCCTCGCTGCTGCTCCAGCAGCAGCAGCAGCAACCACACCAGCATTCGGCAGCATGACTGGTCTTACTCTCATGTCTCCTCTGACCGGCATGGGCAGCAGCAGTTTCAATACCATGCCATCCCCTTCCTCCTCGCTTCGGCCCCCTCGCAACCGCTCCCGATCAGCTGCTTCGACCGTTGACAGCAGCAGCACGAGCAGCTTGAGCGCGGTCAGCCTCCTGCCCACTGTTGACGTGACCAGCGTCGCCGGCAGCATGCTCCGGAGTTTTTCGGGCAGCTTGACGCTTTCGTCCCGCCCGAGCGAGGACGGGTCGGTTTCGGGCAGGAGCTTGAGGAGCAACGCGAGTGCTGTGGGGCATGGGAGGAGGAGGTGGAGATCCACCACTAGAAACGGGCTGCAGCAGAAATTGGTCCAAGATGTGCTTTTACTGGATGGGACTGAAACGGATGTGCCGCCGAGCTATGCTGACGTGGCGAGGATGCTGGGGCTTGCGGGGTCGTTGGCGGACCGCCAGCCTGTCAGCATGGCGCTGTGTATCCTGCGCGTGTTAGATATGGTCGGCCAGACTCGGCCTTTTATGCGCGTGGAGGAAGGGAGTGATGTGAGTGATTTGGAGAGAGAGGATTGTGAGGAGGGAGAGGAGGAGGGAGAGGAGGGAGAAGACACGGAGAGAGCGGAGAGAGAAGAAAGAACGGAGGAGGGAGCGAAAGATGGAGCGTTTAGGGAGGGAAGTGAAGTGGGGCAGGAAGGGGAGTGTGTGTTGCGTTCAGAGGAGGTTGGGGAGGGACGTCCCTATAACGAATCCAATCACCAAGCTGAAAGCAATGACCGTGGCCAAGAGAAGGGTAGAGAGGCAGCAGGGGTGGAAGAGGCAGAGGAGCAGGCCGGGAAAGAGGCATGGGCCGAACCAGAAACGCCTGCCAACGACCGCAGCAACAGCGTCAGGAACCGAAACAGGTTCGGCGACGACAGGCTCGGGGACGACAGGTTCGGCGCGGGGGGGAGGAGGGAGCTGGTGAATGTGGAGGGGGAGATGGAGAGGTACGCAGTGGACAAGGCGTGTCGGCACTTCATAGTCTCGTGCCTGCTGGATCTGCTTCAGCTGCATGCTCACCACGCCTGCCGCCCCCAGCAGCCCTGCTTCAACCTCCCTGCCACTCCTGTCACGCCTGCGGCAACAGCAAAGGGCGCCTTTGAGCTGGTGGCATCCAATCGGGTGGTACCTGAACAGGTGGTATCTGAGCAGGTTGTATCTGAGGCAGGAGCGCCCTACCGGCTGGGAGAGCTAGCAGAGGTGCTACTAGTGGAATCCACAGTGGCAACCAACGGGATGAACCCCATCGAATGCGCTCATCTGGACAGGCTGTATCTGACCCACGGTACCGTCCAGGGGGGGCTGCATCTGGGCCCGGGTATTCTCGCTCTAGCTGTCGCTCTCGCCATGCAGTCGCTCCCGAGCCTCTGGCCTGATGACGTGGCGGAAGTGGCTGAGTTTTTAGAGGAGATGGGGTGTGAGGAGGCGGGGTACCGGGCTCGCGTGCGGGTGCTTGGCAGCGTGTATGCTACTGAGGCGGACTGTAAGGAGGTTATAAGGAGGACGGTGAGGCCGAGAGGGGTTGAGCCGGTGAGGCGGAGGATTCAGAGAGTGGTGGGGGTGGCGGAGACGGCGCTAACCCATGCGCCGACTGAGGCGTCGCGATCGTCGTATGTGAGGAGGTTCTGTGATGCTCTAATGGAAGAGTTGCTGCAGGTGCTTCCCGAGGCTCTCCCGGAGGCTTGGCCCGAGCCTGCTCCCATGCCTCCCCCTAGGAGTTTGAGTGGAGGGAGGGTGGGGAACGGGGAGAGGGTCAGCACGGAGGTATTTTCGCCTCCACCTCTTTCCTGCCCTGCCGCCCTGCCTGCCTCGGTGTCTCTTCCCAATGGCCTCACTGCCGGTTCACCAGCAGCACCAGCAGCAGCTGCTGCAGCAGCAGTTGCTGTCGTTGATGCCGAACAGACCTCACACTTGTGCCACACCACCACCACCACCATCACCACCACCAGCCACACGCCCTTCACCACCAACCCGGATCCCCCAACAACACCTCCCGCCACCACTAGACCCCCCAAACCAGCCGCCCGGCTTCTGAACATCCTTCCCGTAATCCCAGACGCTGAAGCAGCGCCCATGATCCCGTGGGTGCGGGATCTAGCAGAGGCGTACCTGCGCCTGAGCCGGCACCTGTCGCTGGACTCAGAGGGCGTGCGGCAGCAGCACGAGCGGCACACGGACGTGTGCGCGTGTATTATTCTCAGGTGCCTGGTGGCGGAGGTGGCGCGGGAGAGGGAAGAGGCGAGGGTGGCGGCTGCTGCGGCGGCTTCGCCTGGGTCGCCTGATGCTGCTGGGTTGTCAGAAGGGGATGGTTTGACTGGTTCGGCTGCTACGGTTGAAGCTGCTGATGGTGGTGGTGCTGCTGCTACTGATCCGGCTGTTGCTTTGCCAGGAAATTCAATGGAGGCCTTATTGGGAGGGAGGGGAGGGGAGGAAAGCAGCAGCACAGACGCACAGCAGGAGACGCAGGAGAGGAGGGAGAGGGAGGAGCGGGATGCGGCGATGGCGGCACTGCTGGTGCATCTGGACAAGGCGCCGGGGGGCACGGGGTCGCTGGCATGGAAGGCCATTGGGCGCATGCTGGAGCGGCGGAACCCCACGCACCCTGTGTTGCCTGCTGTGTGGGTGCGGGCGGTTCTCAATACCCACCTGGTGAGTGAGTGAGTGAGTGAGTGAGTGGTGTGTGTGGGTGCCACAGTGCATTTGGAGAGACAAGGTGCCCGGGGGCCACGGGGTCGCTGGCATGGAAGGCCATCAGATGCATGTTGGAGCATAGAAACCCCACCCGTCCCGTGCTGCCAGCTGTGTGGGTGCGGGTTGTGCTCAACACTCACCTGGTGAGTGTGTGTATGTGCTCTGTTGCCTGTTGTGGTGAGTGCTGTGTGTATGTGCTCTGTTGCCTGTGATGGTGAGTGCTGGAGTGCTGGAACCCCACCCACCCCGTGCTGCCCTCTGTGTGTGTATGTGCTCTGTTGCCCCGGGCAATGCTCTCAAAACACTCACCCTTCCGCCGTCCCCTTTCCTTTCCACTTGCCGGTTGTCCCCACTCCCCGTTCCCATTCCCCAGGCTGTGAACGAGGAGGGAACGGGCACAGACGTTGACGCTCTCGAGCTCTTTGATTGGTCGCTCGAGTCCCTCCTCGTGACTCTCCCAGGAGGCCCCGAGGCTGCCTCATCCCTTCTCAAGGTCATCGACTCTGCCGCACAATGGGACTCCGCTGCAAGATTAGAGAATCCTGCTGCACAATTGGGGAATTCCGCACGATTGGAGAATCCTGCTTCACTATGGGAGACGTCTGCTGTCGGCGGTTGTTGCTCTGGCGCAGCGCGGCTGTCGGATGCGACACGTGTCGACGTGCTACTGGCCATTGCTGCTCGCGTGGCGTGCACTATTTATTGGCGCTGGCCAAGGAGAAGAGACGCGCCGAGATTTGTGGCTCAAGTGCTGACCCTGGCGCATGGTACAGGTGAGACTGCTTGTGCTGCTGACCCCGCACAAGAAAGGTGTTGTGAGTACCTGTGCTGTTGTTGTATACGGCAAGGGTAGGGACGGAAAGCAGTCAATGATTTCCTTGAAGTGAGCACCAGTAGGTGCGATGATGTGGCGTGCACTATTGATTGGCGCTGGCCCAAACAAGACGCGCCGATTTTCTTGTCTCAAGTGCTGACCCTGGCGCACGGCACAGGTGAGACCGCTTGTGCTGTTCCTGGTGCACGTCACAGGGAAGGACATTGGTTACCCAGTAGGTGGAGTGGCGTGGCGTGCACTATTTATTGGCGCTGGCCAAGGAGAAGAGACGCGCTGAGATTCGTGGCTCAAGTGCTGACCCTGGCGCATGGCACAGGTGAGACTGCTTGTGCTGTTCCTGCCTGATGCACGGCACAGTTAAGTTGTTGTTGACCACTGGCGGTGGCCCAGAAGGAGGGATGCGCCAAGATTTGTGGCTCAAGTGCTGACCCTGGCGCATGGTACAGGTGAGACCGCTTGTGCTGCTGCTGGCGCAAGACACAGGCAAAGTGCTTGAGACTGCTTGTCCTGTTGGTGTATGGGCATGGTGGGAAAGGGCACGAATAAGACTCTTTGCACGATTAATGAACAGCGTGTGTGGAGGATGGGAAGGGTGAGCGTTGAGAACGAGTGGGAAATGGAATAGTGTGGGGGATTCAAAATGGGACAGGGATGGGAAAGTGCTCATTAAATCTATCTGCCCCTTGTACTTCCCACCACGCCCACACCAGTGGGCATGACCCCAGAGCAATTGCAGCGGGCTCTCAAGATCGGGGGGCGCCTGTGGGGACGGGAAGGTGGTATTTATGATCGCATTCAGTATCCTGAATACTCACCTTTGAACCATATCGCCTGTTGTTTTCCGCCCACCCTCGCCCGCACCAGTGGGTATGACCCCAGAGCAACTGCAGCGGGCTTTGAAGATCGGGGAGCGCCTGTGGGGATGGACCATGCCCAGCCCGGCCTCCCTGCAACAGCGGTGTGAGGTGAGTCAATGCGAGGTCACGTGTCAGGAATGCAAGTCAGCATGAGTCAACCCAGTCCATGCCTGTGGGGATGGACCATGCCCAGCCCAGCCTCCTTGCAAGCCAACACAAGGTCATATATTGTCAATGCGAGTTAACACAAGTCATTCCAGTCCGTGTCAGTAAAAGCCAACACACCTGTGGGGATGGACCATGCCCAGCCCAGCGTCCCTGCAACAGCGGTGTGAGGTGAGTCAATCCGAGATCACATGTCAGGAATGCAAGTCAACACAAGTCAAACAGTCCGTGTCGCTAACAGTCAATACACCTGTGGGGATGGACCATGCCCAGCCCAGCTTCCCTGTGGCAGTGGTGTGAGGTAGGTGAGTCAGTGCGAGTCAGCGCAAGTCAATGCAGTCCGTGTTGTTAAAACAGTTAGTCAGAATGTCTGTGGGGATGGACCATGCCCAGCCCGGCTTCCCTGCAGCAGCGGTGTGTGGTGAGTCGTTTCAAGGTCACATGTCAGGAATGCAAGTCAACACAAGTCAATGCAGTCGGTTTCAGTAAAAGCCAACACGCCTGTGGGGATGGACCATGCCCAGCACGGCCTCCCTGCAGCATCGGTGTGAGGTGAGTCAGTGCGAGTCAATCCTTGCATCCCGTGTCACTGCACAGACGCCAGAGGAGGCGCGGGAAATTAGGGAGAGCTGCATCATATCACAGAAGCAGACAGTGTCTCACCATGCCCCTGCACCCTCATCACTCCTCCTGTCCCCGTGTTCAATGCGCAGACGCCAGAGGAGGCGCGGGAGATCAGAGAAAGCTGCATCATATCAGCATGGTACTCGACATCAGCGTTCCGAGGCGAGGAGCCCATAGAGCTCATTGGCTCGCAATGGCCCTACAGGTAGATTCGTTGGCGCCTCCAGGGATGGCTTTCGGGAGCTTCAAAGGGAGAGCTGCATCATATCAGCATTGTATTCAACACCGGCGTTCCGAGGGTAGGAGCCCATAGAGCTTATCGGCTCACAGTGGCCCTACAGGTAGATTCCTTTGGCGCTGTTCTCAAAGGATGACTCTCAGGCGCTTCAAACAGTGAGCTGTATCATATCATATCATATCATATTCACACAGACGCAAAAGGAGGCGTGGGGGATCAGGGGAGAGCTGTATCATATCAGCGTGTATTTGACATCGGCATTTCGAGGAGAGTCGCCTATAGAGCTCATGGGTTCACGCTGGTCGTACAGTGAGCAGCGTGGTTTCCAGGTGAAAGCTGTCAACGGTGGCTCACTCCAGGTGATTTCATATTCGAACTTGGTTTGATAGTGCCCCTACAGGTAGGTATGCGTGATACCAAGTAACAGCTCGGTTACCAGGTAACAGCACAGTTGCTACCAGGAAGCAGCAGGAAAGGCAGGGATGGAGCGAAGAGGGAGAAGGGTGTCTGTTCTGGGTCCGCAGGAGTTTTGAGGCGTCGCAGAGGTACATTATGGGGGTGCAGAAGCCGTTGGTGATGAACAGGACTTCAGCAATAGTGTGGTGGATGGAAAAGACGCAGTGGTTCCAGAGAAGGTGGACGGAAACCGTGAAGTGGACTTCATCCAAGGCTGAAGCGTCTCTGCGTCAAAGCAGGGGGCAGAGCGTTGAGGGGGGTTGACACGACTAACCTGACCTGATATTTGAAGCCGTGCACAGGCTTGAAGCGGTGGTGTGGAAGTGCAGGAACTCAACAGTGGAGGAAAGCAGAAGCAGAAACCGACCTGACCTGACCTTTGAAGCCGTGTACAGGCTTGAGATCCCGGCAATCTGGTGATGAAGCGGTGGTGTGGAAGTGCAGGAACTCAACAGTGGAGGAAAGCAGAAGCAGAAACCGACCTGACCTGACCTTTGAAGCCGTGTACAGGCTTGAGATCCCGGCAATCTGGTGATGAAGCGGTGGTGTGGAAGTGCAGGAACTCAACAGTGGAGGAATGCAGAAGCAGAAACCGACCCGACCTGACCTTTGAAGCCGTGTACAGGCTTGAGTTCCCAGCAATCTGGTGATGAAGCGGTGGTGCGTAAAAGCACAGGAATTCGAATTCGAAAGCGGAGAAAAATGGAAACAGCGGGAACGGCACTGCAGCAGTCGGACTTCTGCACGAGCGGATCGAAAATGCTGCAACAACTGGATTTCTGCAGTAGGCTTTCAGCGAAGCAAAATGAGTTGACGGATGGGGGAAAGGCGGGGTGGGGGAAAGGCGGACTCGAGGAATGAGCCGTTTGGAGCAGCCACAAGAACCCACGCAAGCATGGCTTGAATGGTGGAGGCAAGCTGACAGGTTATGAGGGAAGAATGTTGCAGTGCAGAGACCACGTGCAGCGAAGCTGCTCGTGAAAGGGGTGTCAATAAACGTAACTGGGAGGGTGCGGGGGAACCATGAGTAGTTTTCTGTGTTTTCTGCTATTTGATTTGCTTTACTAAATACATATATGCGTGTATACCTTCTGTTAAACCAATATATGCCTAATGTTATACCAAATTGCTTGGTGGACTTGACCATGTCTCAGTACCTTCGCTGTGGTGTTCCCATCGAGGCACCATGCAACATCACGACAAGGCCTTGTTTCAACTCGCTGCTCCAATGTCCCTCTCAATCAACCATCACCATCCTCCCAGCACTCCATCTTCTATCCTATCGTGTCTGAGGTGGTGTCCAGCTCGTACATTTACTGTTCGTAAAGCCGCTCAGTTACCACATTTTATGGTGTAACACTGTATTGAACGTGTCCTGCGGACACGTTCAGCTTTCGTTCACAAGACGGCACGCCCCCTGGACGTACCTCGAGTCGCCTGACTCACGTTACTGGAATCAGCGGGGACGCGAACAAGGGTACAGCACCGCGTCCTGGCCACTACAGTAACTGCCCTTGTATCGCTTGCACGATTTCGCCAGTGACTCGCTACACTCGCCAACACCCCCTGCGCCTGCCCGAAAATTCGTTAGCTATGATTGACGAGGGAAACTGTTACCTCGTTTCGAACGCGGTCAGAGCACTGTTGATTCGAGTGGCGGGGAACGTGTCCACACTCCTGAAATTACAGGTAGTTTGGACGTAACTCACAATGCATTCGTTTTTAGGTACAGTGATTATTTTTGAACCTCGAGACGTGTGTCGGCACTAAAAAACCCGAAATGAACGAACTGGACACGCCCTGATCGTCCTACCTGATCCATACCACGGTTCGAATCGTCAAAGCCGCGACCCTGCAGTTTTTTGTAGCCTACACATGATGCCTGTTTGAGCCACTCCCGGTTGCCTTGTGAAGGGGGCTTATAAGCTGTAATGTGCATTTCGCAAAAGTTTCGTCAATTCGCAGCTGGCTAAAAAGGATTAGCAGGTGCTTATATAAAGGATCTGTAACCTTATCCGTTGACATTTTGACTTCAGTCTCTTCAGTTTGACTTCGGTATGTTCGTTACTATTGGTTCATAACCACGCGACGCGCTTGTAACGGGGGTGCAGCAGGCTGGGGAAAAAACCTCGGGTGCAGCGTTTCCATCCGGTGCAGAGCAAATTCGCGTGCATGGGGTGGGCATCACCTGTACTTTGGATGATGCGGCGGCGTATTGGATAGGGTAGTGTTTTTCGCAGAGAGAGCAAGCAGCAACCGTCACGGCCTTTTGAGGAGCTTGTGTTCAATTGCTGCGCACGTGGCCATCACGCCCTAACCACTACCGGCTCCCACGCCGCAGCTGTTCAATCGTGGCCATCACGCCGTAGCCGAATTTTATAGGCGCATAAAAAATCGCTGCAGCTGTTCAATTGCAACTCATCACGCCATAGCCCCTCGGGCTGTCAGAGTGCAACACTTAATTTTCTTCTCGTTCGTTCCATTTAAAGCTAAGGACATCCGGAGTGTTAATGAGAGGGAACTCCTCTCAGTGTCACCGTCGGCACTAGCCCGCTCCCCCCCTCCCTTTCTGCGTACCTTCGTTTTTCGTCTCTTTGCTCCTCGCTAAGGGGCGGCCCGCGCTTTGCTCACTCCGCCCCGTCCGTCCTTCTGGTCGGCCGCTTTGGTTGCTGGCAGCAGAGGTGGAAATTGTTGGTGAGGTTGTTGCGAAGATGAGGCCAATGCCGTCTGTAGACATGCAGCAGCAACAGCAGCAGCAGCAGCAACACCAACAACAGCAGCAGCAGCAGCAGCAGCAGCAGCAGCAGCAGCAGCAGCAGCAGCAGCAGCAGCAGCAGCAGCAGCAGCAGCAGCAGCAGCAGCAGCAGCAGCAGCAGCAGCAGCAGCAGCAGCAGCAGCAGCAGCAGCAGCGACAACAACACCAACAACAACAGGAGCGTCATCAATTGCCACACCAAGAGCAACCGCGTGGGATATTACAACAGCAGCAGCAGCAGCAGCAGCAGCAGCAGCAGCAGCAACATCATCATCAGCAAGATAAGCAGCAGCACGAGCAGCAACAACAACGACTGCACTCTCATTATAATCATCAACAGGAGCTGCAGCAGCAGCAGCAGCAGCAGCAGCCATCGCAGCAGCCACCAGTGCGAGAACAAGCAAAAAAATCAGGGCAAACAGGACCGAGGCCTACCCAGGTGCTCGGAGCTGTTCCTGCATCGATGAAGAAAAGGCCCTCTGCAGGAGTCTCATCCTCGTTAAAGGGCATGGCGTTAGCAGTTAGGCAACTCGCTGCAGTGTACGAGCAAGTGGAGCGCGCCAAACTGGAGCGGCTGCTGGAAACGGAGAGAATGCGGATGGAGCTGAGCAAAGACATGGAAGCGCAGATGATGCAGATGCAAGTCGACATGGCTCGAGCAAGCGGTGCTCCTAGGTACAGTTTTGATGCTGGTGGTGGTGCTGCTGCTGCTGTTCCTGTTGGTGCTGGTGGTGCCGGTGGTGCTTGTGGTGGTCTTACGGATGGGCTGGTGGGTGGCAACCATGAGGAACGTCTTGTGGGTGGTAACCAGAATGACGATGTTGGCGATGGGACTCAAGGGTTAGCAAGCGGCAGCAGGCTAGATGATACTGCTGGACGTGCAGCTGGTTTTGATGGCAATGCTGCCAATGGTGGTCAGGGCCTAAGTGGTTCAGGGAAAGACGAGGAGACATTCAACTTCTCAACGCCTGCAGGGAACATGTTGAGTCCGTCAACTGTTGAGAGCGCACAGACAACAGCAACACCAAATCCATTGTTAAATCTGTTCCGCACTCCTCCTCGCGTCCGCATTGCTGAGTGCATGAGTGCCCGCTTGGAGCTTCTCATTGACCCATTGGATAGCTTTGACTTATTGTCGCCTTCACTCATGTAGGCTCTTGAGCTTGAGCGTGGAAATTAGAATACTGGAGACTATCAGGCCATCTTCATTGTACATTGCACATTGCACATTGCCAGCATGAACCTGCAATGCAGACAATATCATACAACCTCCTCCAATCCAATCCACAGACAGTTGACAGATCTTACAGGCAGTCTGACATGGAGTTTCAGCTATACCATGTACCGTAGTACCAGCTTGATCTGCACAGGACACCACAGCACTTGCATCACTGACATTTTAGTCTCTGGATTGGATGACTTGGTGGTCACACTTTACTGGTGTTTCCATCCTGCAATACCAGGAACCATATTCAGTAATAAAACAGTGGATCTTAAACATGAGCTGCAGTTGCCTGACCACCGGAGGATATTGTTGTTTGGGTTACGTTGAAGCCCGAGCTTCAGAATCTGGTTGCTCCATCATCGTAAGAAACATGCCAGCCAGATCTGCAGGGAGCACCCTTCTCATCATACACCCCGCAGCATGTCCATCTCCTCTTCCAGTTTTTGTGTCCTGTATTTGGTCGGTCCTCCTTGTCGTTCCACACGTAGACTATTACTCCGCTCTTTTCTGACCAGTCACCGTCTACACCTTGATGAGGCGGTGCATATGCGAACAATCCCTTGTCTCCTGCTCATGAAAGTATTCGTTAGCGGAGCAGCAATGCAGGGAAGGCGGGAAGGAGATGAACAGCAGAATGAAGAGGATGACCGGAATGTCATGTCACCACAGATGTCGTAACAGAAGCAGGATGGGTGTAAGCACGAGAACAAGTGGAACCATGTTGAGAAATGTGACCATGACATTCGCGATGACGTCTCCCTTGACCAAGAATCTCTCAGAAATGCCTGACGTTAAAACACCTGGCATGTGATCGTAAAACACTTGAAGAGGCTAGAGACTCGATGGAAAAGAGGCATCTAACCTGTCATATGGCCATGATATTTGCAAGCTACAGGAGAGTTGTCATCCGGATTGTAAGGATTTCCGCAGCGCAAGCAGGTCTGTGAATTCTCTGCTCGAGCGGATGCAGAAGCCCCCACGTTGGTTCTAACCGAGTTGGTAGCTGATGACGCGGGGCAGACGCTAAGAAACCTCACTTCATGGCGAAGCCTATGCTGTACCATGGCGCCATTCTGGATAATACTATTCATGGCCAGAGACGCCATGGTTTTGGGATAACCTGAGCGACACAAATCTTAGTGACACTGTGATGGTTCAAGCGGGGATGGGAACGCATAAAGTTTTATTGCATACCTTTATGTTTTGCGTACGTGTACTAAACATATCGGTTTACACTGTATCGAGTTGGCTTACGGCTGTTTCCTTGATTGGTTCCCTGGTGCCACGTTGATCAGCACACGTGAGTTCTGATGCTACCGTCGGGAGCTGGAAAATGCTTGGCTGTGCAAATCTCGTCAGATGAAGCGTGTGTGGGACCACATTTCTCCAGCCTGGCAGCAGTGACTGTGCTGAGAGGGATTGAGGAATGCCAATTAGCGCATTCCGTCCCTCTCAGCCGACCAATTACAGGCAGAGGGTTTTCCCATGTATTATCGAACGGCTCTTTATCCGTCCCAATCTTTCGGGCCTGGCCTGACCCCTGGTCCGTTTGAACAAACAAGTCTTCGAGGATGCCCTGGAGTTCTGATCGAGTCCATCCCCAAATCTGACTTCCTGGCTTGTTGGAATGCATTCCTAGAAACCATTTTCTGAGAGTCTGGTCGCAGTGCTACTTTATTGGGGTCTCTGTATAGTCGTGCCTGATCATCTCTCCAGGTGCTTTCTAACTTGGCCGAATCCCAGACCAGCGTCTCATTATGGCTGCCCTCGAAGATTATGGCGACAGGGACCTTATGCACGAGCTCTTGAGGCGAATGAAATGCGCTCCTAAGCCAGAGAAGAGAGTTATTCTGATCGGTAAGTTTTTTTTAGGTTTCTCCCCCATGTGAACTTTCGCAGTCATCCTGTCCATGCCGCCCTCTTGAACAGATCGTTTCGATAGTGGGTTGTGCTTTCTGATTCTCTTATCTTCCTGTTTCCAGGTCCTCCCGGTTGCGGGAAAGGTACACAGTCTCCCATCATCAAGGAGGAGAACTGCCTGTGCCATCTAGCCACCGGCGATATGCTCAGAGCAGCCGTCGCTCAGAAAACGCCGCTGGGTATAAAGGCAAAAGAGACCATGGAAAAGGTGCGTTGCATGAATGCTCGCGTCGCGATGCACCTGGTCTGTGATCGTCTGTTATTGTATCTCCCCCGCTTCAAGCATTCCACTCGACCATTTGCGATGCATTCTGACCAATCTCAATCTACCATCCGTATCCAACCAGGGTGAGCTCGTGTCCGACGAACTCGTGGTGGGCATTATCGAGGAAGCGATCAAGCGGCCGTCCTGCAGCAAGGGTTTCATCCTTGACGGCTTCCCGCGCACCGTCGTCCAGGCAGAGAAGGTAAGCGAAGCCGTCTATGTCTTATTCGTATCACGTCGCCATTGGGATGGGATTGCACGGACCATGCCTCCAATACAACATAAGACCGCATTCCTATCTTGCTTGCATCCAACGACATCTTGACGCGGTGATTGGAGAGAAATGGTCAGGATGTAAATAAGATGTTCCAGCTTCTAGGTCCTGGTTCTACCCTCGGAGGGGAAGATCGCGTGCACGTGGATTATATCTTCAGGCTTCGTTTTTGTGTCTCATTCTGTGTTAACAGCTTGACTCGATGTTAGAGAAGAAGGGTCAGAAGATCGATAAGGTGCTTAACTTCGATCTTCCTGACTCCGTCCTGGAGGAGAGGATTACCGGCAGATGGATCCACCCTGCCAGCGGACGCTCCTACCACACCAAGTTTGCTCCTCCGAAGTTTCCTGGCAAGGATGATGTGAGTGGTTTTTTAATCAAAACTAGAGGGTTGAATATGGTATTTTTATCTACAAGAGAAACGGAAAACGATGCGGGTTGACTAAGGCGTTTCGTTCTCTCTATCCTCTCACACATTCAGTCACACTCACCTTCAGTCACACTCACCCACACTCGCTTTCGCTCGCTTTCATTCTCTCTACTCGCTCTCACTCTCGCGCCAGAAAATCGTCTTTGTTTGATGTCGTCCTCCTCCGATTTCCCATTCGCCTTTGTTGACTGTCAGCTCACTGGCGAGCCCTTGGTGCAACGGAAGGATGACAATGCAGAGACTCTTCGCAGTCGATTGGCCGCATTTCACAAGCAGACCTCACCGGTAAGTAACTTGACACCCTATTTTCCATCTCTATAGTTTGTCTATGGTATTGAAATCCTCCTCAGACCTTCTGGCCTCTCGAACTTTCATTCCTGAATTGTTTGACAAGGAGGTTTGTTTTGTTTTCTCAACACCAATTGTCATTTGCAGGTCATTGATTACTACGCTGCTAAGGGCAAGGTTGCCAACCTGCATGCAGATAAGAAGCAGGAGGAAGTGACTGCTGAGGTTCGTGCAGCCTTGAAATGAGGCTACGTAACAAGACCTGCTGGGTTCCTTGGCACTGTAGGTGAATAGAGCAGTCATGATACTCCCAGACCACCGAGGACCCATGTGTGCATCCACTTTTTCGCAGCACAGCGGACTGGGGAGGCTGGCTCTTGGAGTTGAAGTTATTGCTACAGCTTAAGCCCCTTCTATCAAGGCAACGGTTCCTCATATACCCAGGCAACATTTCCATGTCATCACGTAGTCAGGAAATGCCGTTTACCGTATTTCCAGGCAACGATGCATCACTTGTATACCTAATCCTAAAATATAAAATTTCACTCAGTAGAACATGGCTAAACCAGTCATCAATACTGAGCTGCTGCACCAATACAGTTGGAGTAACGACGACCGAGGGCGCGTCCCCTCCCTCGATCGATCTTGCGCAGGTTTCGTTTTTTTGCTTGGTTTAATAAGGTTCGAAAAGTTGTAAATGCAAAACGCGGGATTTTAGTGCGGTGGAGGTTCAATTTTCCTCGATTTTGCACGATCGACTCTTCCGATTTTCGTTCCCACTAGCGAAAAGACCGACCAAAAGTCCTCCCACGATCGAGTCCGTCGTCAGATTCCATCGACGCAAATTCCTCCCACGATCCCGCCAGATCCGCTCCCATATGCCTTGCGGTAGAAACGCGTCAACCCCTTGAGAAAAAATGGGAGAAAAGCTTTACGTGACAACTCGCTGGTTTCCGCTTCTGTGCAATCTCGTCTGGGACGTGCGTGCAGGAGGAATGTCCCATGATTCGCTCGCAATCTCTGCACTCTGTCGGTGTCAGCCGCGGATTCAGAGGGAGCAAAAGCGGCAAAAAAATATATGTTCGTGTTCCGAGCAGTTTCAGCCGGGACGGATGTGCCCAATAAAGGGCTGAAACGTGATAATATGGTACGGCGAATAGGATACTAGGGTTATAGAATCCTAGGATCCTAGAAACTGGCGACATTGGCCGTGTTCCTCGATCCTTCGTCAGAGAGCGACGCGATGGATATTGGGGTGTGCAGCTCTTCACGCTGGAACCTTCGTTGAGCATGACATTGGGCATGACACTAAGCATGACACTAAGCATGACACTGAGCATGACATCGAGCATGACACTGAGCATGACACTGAGCATGGCATTGAGTATGACATTGAGCATGACGTAAAGGTATGCAGAAGTTCACGCAGTTAGAAGGGCGCTCGGTTCCTAACATGCTCGTGAGCATGCAGACTCCAAAACAAGGGTCAAAATTTCATCAGCCTTTCTGGTCATCTCTTTCATTTCGTTCCTCATTTTCATCAAATTTTCCACTTCCAACACATGCTGCACTTCCATCTGATTCTTAGTGGTGCTTCGCTTCTCCAACTCCACCTGCATGCTTCTCACCGATGCCTTCTCTCGTATGGCATCGATTTTCCAATCAATGAAAATGGAAAATCTAAGGGTTCTCCAACTCCACCTGCATGCTCCGTGTCTGACATCTCTCCAGCTGATTACTCAGAAGACACAAGCATGGAACTGGCTGGGAGGGCAGGCGTAGGCACAGGCAGGAGGGGAGGAGCAGTCAGTGTGTGAGTGTGTTAGGAGATGAAGGGAAGAGGGGGAGGAGGGCGAAAGGGGAGGAAGGGAAGGAAGAGGGATGAAGGGGAAGCAAGTAGGGATCACCTCACATCACAGCTCCTCGATTTATATCATCTTTCAAGCATCCATCCCTCGAAGCAAGTAAGTATTTCTCGTTCCTCCCTCCCCCCGGCCTCCCCACCACGCCGCCCTTTCCAGTATCCCATTTCTCCCCTCGCATCTGACACATCAGCATGTTGAACCTTTCCTTCTGCTCTGCTCACCCCACTCCCCCCACTTCCACAATTAGCATGTTCGCTTAGAAAGCGTAATAACATCTCTTTATTCATTAAGGTCATTGCATACAGCATACTACATCAGCACAACCTATTTCCATCCCTCCAGCTAGCCACCCGAATTCCAGCTAGGTGCTCGCCCACTGCTGCTTACCCAGCAGCTCGATTATTCACACTGAGCAGCTAGCTGTTGCTTACTGCTGCTTGATTATTTACTTCCCCACCATCCTCCCATCCGCTACTGAAAAGGGCAACAGCAACCGCACCTTCTTGCTGCTGTACCCACCGTCTCCTCTCATCCCCCCCTTACTCTGTCACTCCTGAAACAGCGCCTGAGCCTTCATCATCTTCCCCTGCTGCTTGCTCCTGCACCCATCCTCCCCTCGGCTCCCCCCCCACCTCCTCCAAAGTCACCACGCTGTTATCCAGCTGCTCCCGCACCAACTCCCATTCCTCATCGCTCACTCCTGAAACAGCGCCTGAGCTTTCATTATCTCGACTCGAGCCAACCCAATCATCCCCCCCGCAGCTTGCTCCTGCACCCACCCTCCCTGCAGCTCTCCCCCAACCTCCAAAGTCGCAACACTGTTATCCAGCTGCTCCCGCACCAGCTCCCGCCTCCCCTCATTGATCAACACCTCCGCATCCCCCAGTGCTGTCACCACATCCCACAGGTCCTCCTTCTGGGCGTCGTTACCAGGGGGGAGGATGCCGTGTGCCTTGCGTACTAGAACCGCTGCACCCTTCAGGAGGATGATGATAAGGTGGTCTTTTTTGGACGGCTTGCAGGGTGGCGGAGGAGGCGGAGGAGGCGGAGGAGAGGGAGATGGTGGGGGCGGGGATTTTTTCTCAGGGGGAGGAGGGGACTTTTTCTCGGGGGGAGGGGGCGACTTTTTCTCGGGGGGAGGGGGCGATTTGTGCTTGGGCGGAGGGGGCGACTTGTGCTTGGGGGGAGGGGGCGACTTGTGCTCGGGAGGAGGGGGCGACTTTTTCTCGGGGGGAGGAGGCGACTTGTGCTCGGGGGAGGGGGCGACTTTTTCTCGGGGGGAGGAGGCGACTTGTGCTCGGGAGGAGGGGGCGACTTGTGCTCGGGCGGAGGGGGCGACTTTTTCTCGGGGGGAGGAGGGGACTTGTGCTTGGGTGGAGGGGGTGATTTGTGCTCGGGGGGAGGGGGTGACTTGTGTTCGGGCGGCGGGGGGGACTTTTTCTCCGGCGGAGGAGGAGACTTGTGCTCGGGCGGCGGGGGCGACTTGTGCTCGGGCGGAGGGGGGGACTTGTGCTCGGGCGGAGGGGGGGACTTTTTCTCAGGCGGAGGGGGGGACTTTTTCTCAGGAGGAGGGGGGGACTTCTTGGGAGGGGGAGGAGACTTTTTCTTGGGTGGAGGGGGGGAAGGAGGAGGAGGGGAAGCGGATGGAGGAGGAGGGTGTTGTAGAGGACTCTCCTCTACTTTGCAGGAACTGGGAGTTGTTCTAAACGATAGAGCTCTGTCTTAGCTTTCCAACGAGCCGTCAAACACGTCGATCGCCTAAGTATTCTCCGAGATATAGGCGTTCACGTGCTAGGTGGTGCTCTTGAATGCAAGTAAAGAAGCTCTCTGGAATTTGTGTTCGAATGTACCTTGTACAAAGAACTCTGAGTTTCACTATGATGGCATGCAATACAAAGAAAACAGATTTATAGCATGCAAACAAGATTGAATCGCACAAGTAACCTCGAACCGCTACACTCGCGAATGTTCGAGTAACATCGAAAGGGTGAAATTCGACTCTCGAATTTCACCGATCCGAATTCTCCTTGGGTCTCGAATGTTCCTGGTGCTGCCATGTGGCACCGAATCGAATGGGTCTTCCGAAGTCAATCCTCAACCCCACGCAAACCTGCAACTCACTCGAAGGTGAGCACAAGTCACACATTCGGTGGGTTGGGGGCATACAAACGCCCCACCACCACCTTGCTTCCAACACACGTAATCTCCAACACTCCCCCTTGCACCCAACCCACTAGGTGTGCAAACCAACATGCTCATAGCATGCACGGGATGAATCTTTAGGGGGTGGTTCCATGAGAGATTTCGCGTGTTCATCATCACCCTTGGTTGCGAAGCAAAATGCCGCGCCCTCCTTATCCGTCTCCCCAACGGCTACCGTAGCGTAGTCGTTGTACTTGGAGGGAGGACGAACCTCACGACGCTCGCGGGTCAAGGCCAATGGTAGGGAGGAAGGTGTGGAGGTAGTTGCCGCCTCGGTTGGTGACACCTCCACGACATCATCAATGCTCTCCTCGTTGTTCGCTCCCCCTCCATCGGCTTCCTTCTCCACTTGAGGTGGAGTCTCACTCTCTTCAACCTCCTCTCGTGGCGGGAAGATGAAGGTGAGTTGTTGAGTGGGTTTCTCCTTCGACGGGAACTTGTCTTCATCGAAGACCACGTCCCGAGACGTGACGACGCACTTGTCGCCCAAGTCCCACACTCGCCACGCACGCTCGTTCGCCGCAATTCCCAAGTAGATCGCCGCACGAGCCTTCGGTTGCAACTTGTGGCGAAGGGGATCCGGTACATGGTAGTAGCAAAGGCACCCAAAGGTGCGAAGGCGGGATAGGTTCGGCTTCGTTCCGGTCCATGCTTCGAACGGAGTCATTCCCGGGAGCACCTTCGTCGGCAAACGGTTGCGAATCCACGCCGCTAGCGAACTCGCCTCGCCCCACCACTCTTTCCCAAGCTTGGAGTGTTGAAGAAGAGAACGAACGGCTTCCACCAACGTGCGATTAAGCCGCTCCGCCGCTCCATTTTGTTGGGGTGTGTAGGGTGTTGTGACGTCGTGCTTAATGCCCTTGCACTTCATCCATTTCTCGAGCTCCGCATTCACGAATTCGCCACCACCATCGGTGCGAATACACTTGATCCACTTCTTGTCATCGTCGCAAACTTCGAGCGCCCACTCTTGAATCGCCTTGACCGCATCTCCCTTAGCCTTCAAAAGTCGGGTCCAACACATCCGCGTCGCGTCGTCGAGCATCACTAAGAGGAACCGCACTCCTCCCTTTGATGCATGCCGCATCGGTCCACACACGTCCATGTGAACAAGTGCAAGCGGGTCCTTAGCGAGGGGTGACGTTCGGCTACCGAATGGCTTGCGAGCCATTTTTCCTTCGACACACGCCGCGCACACGCCCTTCTCGTCGTCGCCGGCGATCGCGTCGACTCCCTTCGCAAGTCCTTTGTTGGCCAACTCCTTGACCGAGTCGTAGTTGGCGTGCGCAAGCCGATTATGCCACGCCTTGAGAGTCGCCTTGGAGCCTTGCGCCACGTTGGATGAAGCCGCTCTCGGGTACGTCTTGAGTTGGTAGATATCTCCGTTGAGAACACCTTGCGCGAATTGCTCCCCTTTCCAAAAGAGGTTCATTTTCGCACCGTCGATCGTGGCGATCACTCCCTTCTTCGCAAGTTGCGGGACGGATAGAAGGTTCACCTTCACCCCCGGGACGTGAAACACGTTCGTCACGTCCACCGGACCGCTATCGACGATGAGGCGCGTACTCCCAACTCCGACCACCGGTAGCAGTTCGTTGTTTCCGAACACGATGCTCGTGACGTCTCCCGGAGCGCCAATGTTGTTGAGGAGCGACGCCGAGTGCGTCATGTGTTGCGTTGCGCCGGTATCGAGGAACCACGCGTCGCTTGGAGTTTTGTTCCCGTTGCCGGCCACTAACACGAGCGACTCCTTTGAATCATCGGCCTCGCCGGATGCCGTGTGCGCGTTGCCCTCTTGGTCCCGCGCCATCGATGGAGTCCAATCGCTCGGCCGCTTTCGACACTCACGCCAAAAGTGTCCCGGTTTGCGGCGATAGTGACACTTGCCGCGATGCTCGCTCCCACCGGACGATTCCTTCGTTGCGTCCTTGCTCCACTTGGACTTCTTTCCGGAACTCCCTCCGGAGTACATGGCGGCACCCTCGCTCTCATTAGCGAATTGTCGGCGACGCGATTCTTCATGGAGAAGCCGACCAACCACCATTTCCTTCGTCCAAGTGTCTTGCACGCTATCGAGTGTCGTAATCACCGTCGACCACTCTTCCGTAAGGCCGCAAAGCAAGGTGAGAATCCAATCCTCCTCCGTGACCGTTCCACCAAGGTCCATGAACGTTTCCCCGAGTTCCTCCACACGAGTCGCAAACTCGTGCATCGATTCGCCCGCGCGCATCTTCACCGTGTAGAACGCATTCCGGGCTAGGATCTTGCCGTGGAGAGTCTTGTTCACGTGGATGGTCTCGAGCCGCTTCCACGCTTCATGCGCCGACGCTTCGAGCTTGATGCACATGCGCACCGAGCTCACGAGATTGATGCCGATGCGCGAAATCAACGTAGCGAACGCCTTTTGGTCCTTCTTCTTCCATGCCGCGATGCCGCTCTCATCGTCCGGCTTCTTCTCCGTTCCATCGAAGAAACCCCAAAGTCCCCGCTCCATCATGAGCACTTGGAACTTAAACTTCCACGCGGAGTAGTTTTGTCCCGTGAAAATCGGTACCGCCGACGTGTCGAACATCGTCGCGGTTGCCCAGGGTTCGACGGAATTTACAACGACACCATCCAAGGAAGTGCGGGAGGCCTCGTTTGAAGTCATCATGCGTGCTCCTTGTCGCGCGCGTAGACTCCTCCGACCAGCTCTGATACCACTGTTGTAGAGGACTCTCCTCTACTTTGCAGGAACTAGGAGTTGTTCTAAACGATAGAGCTCTGTTTTAGCTTTCCAACGAGCCGTCAAACACGTCGATCGCCTAAGTATTCTCCGAGATATAGGCGTTCACGTGCTAGGTGGTGCTCTTGAATGCAAGTAAAGAAGCTCTCTGGAATTTGTGTTCGAATGTACCTTGTACAAAGAACTCTGAGTTTCACTATGATGGCATGCAATACAAAGAAAACAGATTTATAGCATGCAAACAAGATCGAATCGCACAAGTAACCTCGAACCGCTACACTCGCGAATGTTCGAGTAACATCGAAAGGGTGAAATTCGACTCTCGAATTTCACCGATCCGAATTCTCCTTGGGTCTCGAATGTTCCTGGTGCTGCCATGTGGCACCGAATCGAATGGGTCTTCCGAAGTCAATCCTCAACCCCACGCAAACCTGCAACTCACTCGAAGGTGAGCACAAGTCACACATTCGGTGGGTTGGGGGCATACAAACGCCCCACCACCACCTTGCTTCCAACACACGTAATCTCCAACAGAGGGGAGGGCGGAGGCGACTTATGGAACTTGTTGAACTTATCCTTCAACTTGTCCTTGAAGGGAAAGGGCAGCTGAGGCAGGCGAGGCAAGGGGATGTTGAAGTCGAAAACGTTGAGGTAGGACTGTGCAGGGAACACGTTGAACGGGCCGCCAGCACCACCACCGTCACTGCATGGGATGCAAGGTGATGGGCAGAGCGAGAAGAAGGGAGGGAAATAAGAATGCTCGGGGATATAAGAGCAGGGTGTGTGGATGGTGTTTTGAAACAGAGAGCCACAGCCACTGCAGCTGTGTCGAAAGCGTAATAATGCAGCCCGATGGTGATGCTGAAATGAGCATGATGTTGCTGAGCTCGTCTCGGCTGGGGTGTCTTGTGAAAGTGTGGCCTCACCTCAATTCCCTGGAAGTCCGCCTAGCATCCCTCCCATTGGGCGATGGCACATCACCTGCAGATTCAGGTCAAGTTTCACGGGGTGATGATAGCCGTGCGGGCAGGGTCAGTGCGTTTCCAGCAACAAACGTAAGATGCGAAGTGAGTATGGATTAACAATAGAAGACCCTGCAGCGTTCAGGAAGTGATGTTGTGCAAGAAGGACAGCTTGTTCTTAAGTGAGTGAAAAGGTGAAACCTCATCATCTGAAATGGTGGTTGCAAAAAACTTCTCAGAGGGATTCTGATAAACGTACCTGCCGCGCAAGCACTGAAGAATCCAGTTGCAATGATCCACAGGAGGGTCACCCTCTTCAGATTCACGCTGCACGCCGCCATGCTCCCACTCGTTGCCAGCCAGGCAGCCCCTGCCAATTCTAGCTGCTAAAGCTGCGGCACCGATGTCAGCAGCTCTGCAGGCGGGCGGACAGAAGCCAACGGAAGGCAGCCACGACCAACCGGGAGAACTCGAGAAACGAACCTAATCAGAGGCGGCGAGGAGTAGGCGTTTTCGACCTCCAGGAGATGGTTTGTTGTGCTGAGGTGAGCTGACATGGGATGAATTCGTAAGGCAGAAAGAGTTGCATTTGTAGTTCTGCTGTTGCTGCTGCTGGGACTGTTGGGTGGGTTGGGTGTGTGAACTTCGAAAATCAGGGATTTGAGAAATGCGGTTCGGGAATGCTGTTGCGACTTGCCTTGGCATGACCCGCGTCGCGCTGTCGTGGTCAATCGGGTCGTCGGGTCCGTCGGGAATGGTGATGTCGGTTGACGTGGCGACGGTAGAGGCGATTGGGTCCTGTGCACTTTGTCAATCGCTGGGATTTGCTTGGACCTGTGATGCTCAAAAGTCAGCGACGATGATCTAGTACACTCAATAATTGCTTTACGTTCCTTCCACCGTAATTGATATCATGCATCAAGATTTGGCTACAATCTACAAATGCATTTGTAGCTGTAATAACGCTCTCAAATCTCACAAATGTTGGGCTGAAAAGCCCTTAGGATCTTTGCAAGGCTAAACTCTGGGTGGGACTTGTTGTAAGTGCGGAAGCGTGTAATGATAAGTCTTGAACCACCTTGCGCTGGTGTGTGAGGGCAAAGTAGATTAATTAATCAAAGAAATACACGGCTTTTATAAGAGTACAAGGAATATGAAAAGATGCAACTAATAACTGTTTTACTGTTTGCTGTTGCGGTTCGATACAGAGACGACTCAGGCAACTGCTCGATAACGAGTCAGTTGTTTGTCCTTGCTGTCGCGCTATACTTGTCAGGTCAAAGGTCGCTGACCTTTGACTTTTCCGTAACCTCCAGCAGTTGCTCAACCTCCGAGGGTTGACTCGCTGATGCTTCGCTGTGTTTCGCTTCGTTTATGACTTAGTGTTTCGACGCGACAGAGGTGTAAGAATCTAGCAGCAGGGATGAATGAACTATGAAAGAGTTGGGTACAAGTATGAAACCCTAAAAGGGGCTGTACCCCATATTGGCTACCCCACTACAGCCTACACATAGGTAACATGCATATACTTTGACACACCCCCATAGGCAAAGTGGGGGAGAGCAAGGGGTCACAAGACCAGTCAAGCGAAGCAAAGCAAGCTCAGGGTGGATCACAACGTCACCACACACACTGAGCACAAGCAAAGGGCCACAAGGCCAGTTCACATGCAGAGGTATATATGTAAAAACAACAGCACAGTGATCTCTACCTAGCAGAGCAAGCATGCAGGTATATATATAGATCACAGTACAAGCAAAGTCTACAGCAAGTGAGGAAACGTGGGCACAAGGCCTAACAGAGTGCAGAAACGCTGATGATCACCAGACGGAAGCGCCTTGGTGAATATATCAGCAGTGTTGGCCTGAGTGGCCACGTGAGCAAGACGAAGCTGACCACGCTGCTGCAACTCTCGAGCCAGGAAGTAACGCAGAGCGATGTGCTTCGTTCTGTGCTCCAGTCTGTGCTCCTGACACAAGGCAATGGCGGCCTTGTTGTCGACGTACAGCACTGGAGGAGAACGAGGCCGCTCTCCCAAGTCGGTCAGCAGGTAGGTGAGCCAGCGTAACTCCTGTGCAGCCATGGCTGTGGCGTAGATCTCAGCCTCACAACTGGAGCTGAGAACTGAAGACGAGCGTGTAGAACGCCAAGAAACCGAACCAGAGCCAAGGCTGAAGGTGTAACCCTG